ATACATTTTCCATTTTACTCTTTCCTTTAATGTGCCCCCCCCCCCCAGTTTTTCCTCTAATTCCTTAAAATTCAGCTTGATTGATCATAAGTTGTGGGCAATTGGCTTTTTTTTTTTTAGATTTTATTTCTTAGAGCACAAGTAGGGGGAGGGGCGGAGGGAGAGGGAGACACAGGCTCCCTGCCGAGCAAGGAGTCTGATGTGGGGCTCCATACCAGGACCCTGAGATCATGACCTGAGTGGAAGGCAGATGCTTAACTGACTGAGCCAGCCACCTAGGCACCCCTGGCAATTGGCTTTAAAAGGACAGTTGGTTTGGGTTCCTGTAGTTCCTAGAATAGTGAACCATCTCTTCTGAAGTTCTTCAGTAGGGTTTTTTTTTTTCCCCCTCCCCAGTTAGATATTTTTTTTTTTTTATAATAGTTCAATGTCCTGGAGATGCTACAAAGAAATGTAATTTAAAACAGGAGAGCATTCCTGTAGAATGGTCTACAATTTGGAAGTATTATATATTAAATGCTGTCCATTTGCTTGCTATTCTTTTTTCATTAGAGAATTATGTCCAAGCTGTGGAGGAGTTCCAGGCTTGCCTAAACCTGCAAGAGCAGTACCTGGAAGCCCATGATCGTCTCCTTGCAGAGACCCATTACCAGCTGGGCTTGGCCTATGGGTATAACTCTCAGTATGATGAGGCAGTGGCACAGTTCAGCAAATCTATTGAAGTCATTGAGAAGAGAATGGGTGAGTGAGCATCAGCTATTTGACGATAAGCTTGACTGGATCCGGTAATCGACAATATGAAAAAAAAAATGGATCCTTTGGTGGTAACTATTACTGATCACTTCAGCCTGTTCTTTGTAGCTGTACTAAGTGAGCAGTTGAAGGAGGCTGAAGGATCATCTACTGAATATGAGAAAGAAATTGAGGAACTGAAGGAACTGCTACCTGAAATTAGAGAGAAGATAGAAGATGCAAAGGACTCCCAGCGTAGTGGGAATGTAGCTGAATTGGCTCTGAAAGCCACTCTGGTTGGTTTGGTTTCCTTTTGAAGTTTGGATAATGGCATGGTTGATGTTGTTGGAAGACATCATGGTATTAGTGTTCTATTTGCCTAGGAACCGTGATACGGTTTCCAGGGAGTTGGTGGTCAGAAGGAATATGAGAATTTATCTAGTTATTCCTATTAAGTAGTATAATGCTTAAGAGAATATGCTCTGGAGCCAGACTGGGTTAAGGTTATATATCTGCTACTTACTATGTGTGACTATGGACAGGTTACTTAACATTTATTTGCCTTAGTTGACTCATTTGTAAAATGGGGATCATAGTATCTGTATGTTAAAATACTTCTGACAGTACAAATAGTATTTGCTTAATAAATGTAAGCTATTACTTCCATCTCTGAGAACTCCTCTGTATAGATAGTGCCACAGGTGATGATATGGATGGGTTAATTTAATATTTACCCTGTGCCTAAGCTCCTGGTTTGGGGGTGGTGAGTGCAGGTAGAGGGGGGTGGAATGATATTGCTAGTATATGGAGGCCCACTAGTATTTGAGGTCTTAGTTTGGATGGTAGGTACCTGTTGTAGGTGTGTGGGTGACCTGGTGGGTTCTCTCCTGGGACCCACTTGGGTCTGTCACCTCTCGCACAGGTGGAGAGCTCTACTTCAGGTTTCACTCCTAGTGGAGGAGGCACTTCAGTCTCCATGGTGAGTATTCAGGTGATTTTTGTCACTTGATATTAGGCTTTTTTGTGTCGTGTCTAGTTGTACATTGCTAACAAAGTCCTTTTTGTCAGGTTGCCAGTAGAAAATCAACGGATGGTGCTTCCTCATCAAATTGTGTGAGTGATATCTCCCACCTTGTCAGAAAGAAGGTAAATCTACATGTGCTCATTTCTTTTCTGTTTTCTTTCCAGTTTGCTTTTTGTTTTGTTTTTTGCTTCAAATGATACACCAGGAATACATTCCTTAATATTTGGTGCAATAAGACATTCATTTTGCAAAGTTGGTGAGGATTTGAATGAAGGTAGTTTTCACTTGACTATGTCTTCTAACAGTTTTCCAGGCCACTTTTGGCCCAGGACTATCAGGAAAGCAGCTGAGAAGAATCAGCTCAGCTTGCAAAGCTGGCGGGTTTTCTTTGACAGTAGTCATTCAGCAGCAGACCTGCCGATACTCTTAGGAGTCCATCTTCTGCCTACAATTACAGTCGTTTTTTTCCTCTTGTGGGAGACTGATTGCTTTGTGTCCTGATTTATAAACTTGGGGTTTGGTTACTATTCAGATCTACTACTCACCCTCACCCCACCCTCCCCCTAGAGAGGCTGGATTGGTATGTTGTGGCTGACCAATTGATTGTACTGAGCACAGGTTGACGTCTGCTTCCTGTGGCCATGGGAGAGACCCTGAGAGCCGTGGATACCGGTGTTCAGGATCTCTGCACCATGGGGTGGCAGCAGTGGGGGAGGAGAGGAATGAAGGGGTTTTTAAAAACTTTTGCAGTACTTTTAAAAACATTCAGCACATTTGTGAAGCGTTCCCAATTCTGTCTTCAGAGGAAACCAGAGGAAGAGAGTCCCCGAAAAGATGATGCAAAGAAAGCGAAACAAGAGCTAGAGGTGAATGGAGGCAGTGGGGATGCCGTCTCCAGTGGAAATGAAGTTTCAGAAAACATGGAGGAGGAGGTGGGCAGTTAAGAGGGCTTGGACTCTTGCCTTATTTCCCCTTGTTCTCAGGCCCTGGGGAAACTAGTCCTTCTAAGTGCATGTTCCTCACCTTGAGCCTGTTCGGATTACTTGTATGCAACCCTCATAGAAACAGTGTGCAGGAAACTGGTTATGGAATGTAGGATATCTCATTGACGAATGGCAACTATACACACAGCACAGGTCCCACTCTAAAGAATGTGTGAGAAGGCACTTAATTGGCAAGACCATTGAGTGATTTCTGCTTGCTCCCTTTCCAAGTACCGTATGAACACTGGCTCCATCAGCCCTATTAGAGAGACTTTAGGAAATGGGCTATTAGTAGTGTAGGGAGCAAAGCAGGCTTTAGGAGACCTGTTCACTTTCTCTAATGCCTACTCAGTTGTGTAAAGACAGAACGGCTTAAACTAGGGTCATTTATGCGCAGGCTCCCTATTTATCTTCCAGGCTGAGAATCAGGCTGAAAGCCGGGCAGCAGTGGAGGGGACAGTGGAGGCCGGAGCCACAGTTGAAAGCACTGCATGTTAAGAGAGGGCGCAGAGCCTTCCTCCTGAGGGAAAGTGTTTTTGTATATAATGTATTTTTTCACTTTGGGGGGCCTCTTTTTGTATAACTTCAATAAAGATTGTAAGCAAAGGCTGAGGCTTTGATGATTTTTTTTCTTAAATATACTGGCTGAATCTGTGCCTTGGAGCACTCTGGGTTTGATATAGTTGTCAAAGGTACTCACTCCCCCTGCCCCTTTCTGTACTGATCTCTGTTGGAAGTTCCCATCCAAGTTCCTGTCGGTCTAATGTGGAGGCAATCAAATCAAGCATAGCCAGGCTCTTTGTTTTCTAATGGTGCTATATCTTTTCCATTTTAAATACAAACCTTCAGTGGTGCTGTCCCCATGATGGGGGCTACAAAAACAAGACTTGGTAAAGATCTTGCTCTTTGGTGCTGATACTGTTTGGTGGACTTTGTGAACTGATAACCACCTGAGCCAGGCCTTGAGTGATAACTGTTACCCATCTAGTCTCCAATTGGGGTCAATAATTCTGTCCTGGAAAAAGAACTGAAGAAAACTTGTGAGGGGGAGGGGTGGGGGAAAGTGATCCTTGAGGAAAACTGGTCTGCTAACTGTAGAGAATTGAGCTTTCTGGTTTGAAAGTGGCTTGAGGGACTGGACACGTGGGATGTGGTTGGAGGAATTTGTGGGGAGGCTGGCTGGTGGAGTTTTGTTTTCTGTACAGAAAGGCTGGAATATATCTTATAACTTGAATCTAAATTGTTACCCATCTGCAGTTTTGACCTCTCAAATAAAGATGCTAAAAAATGCTCCTGGTCTGGACTTGTGTTTAAAGGTCTCCCAGGGTGCCTGGGTGGCTCAGTTGGTTAAGCGACTGCCTTCAGCTCAGGTCATGACCCTGGAGTCCCGGGATCGAGTCCCTCATCGGGCTCCCTGCTCGGGGGGGGAGTCTGCTTCTCCCTCTGACCTTCTCCCCTCTCATGTTCTCTCTCTTAAATAAAATCTTAAAAAAAATCTTCCAGTGGGATCCCAAACTACCTGAAGCATTTCAGTGTGGGATGTGGGGTTGAAAGGTAGAAACTGGCCCACCAGTCCAGTCAAAGGGTGCTCAGGATACTGATATTAAAGCCATCCCACTGGGGATGTTCAGGGTGCAAGGCTAGTGGGAGACCCTCCCTGCCTGAGCTGCCTCAGCCCTGACCCTTAGTTTAAGAACCTGTTAAATACCAGTTACTATTGATCTGAATTCCAAACCGTGCCTGCCCTACATTACCTAAAGGGAGTTAGTAATTCTGACCACCCATAGGGTTACTTTGCTGCACTAGACAGACAGTAGGTCAGAACCTGCCATTTGACTATTGAATGTCAGTCAGTTTTCCAGTTTATATTTTACTTCCTAAATAGAGAAAATGGAATTTTTCTGGGCTGGTTATGGTAACTCATGGCTGTAGAAATCTTTGGCTTTGAACTTCTTGAAGATGCCCTTGTATTGCATGTTCCAAGTCCTGAGGATTTTAGGCCTTTGAACTTTGGATTGCACTGGGTTCTGGGGATAGGCCCAATATCAAATTTTAGCCAGATTTCTAAGTGTATAAGGTATGGGAGGAGCTCCTAGTTCACGGGGACCTTTATAGCCTGGAAGGCTTCCCGGAGGATGTCCTGAACGAAGTGTGGCAACAAGATGGGCTTTAGCGCAAAAAAAGGTAAGTTTTTGAAATTCCTTTAACAAATTAGAGTGCCCCCTGCTTATCTTTCAAAGAATTTATATTCCAGGCAATACTGAAAATACCTGACATCCATTTAATCCTCACATCTGTTTTACAAGAGGAAAACTGATAAAGGCCAAGTATTTGTGGAAGGTGGTAAAGCTGTGATTGGACCTCCTATTTTGAGCTTGTATCTGCTATTTGCTTCTAGACCCTCTTGAGAACGTGTAGTAGTAAAGCTGCAGGTCTGGCAACAAGCCTCATCTAAGTCCTAGTTCTGAGCCTGTTAAGCTACTCATGACCACATTCTCCTAGATTCAGAAAGCCAGAGGGGGTGGGTCAAAGCTGTGATGAGGGCCCAAACCATCTATCTTTGACTCTGCTGCTGAGGGGGCTCTTCTGCAGGAGGAGGAGGGTCAACAAAGCCAGCTTTTGGGGCAAGGGAGCTTGCTTCCAGTGCAGGTGACTTGGGTATCTGTGGAACAGGAAGAAGTGTATCTTTAGCAAGAGGTTTGTATCTTGACTACCTAATGTAAACCAAGTAAACCTTATTGTGCAGCTGATTTCCTTATCTGTTTACATAATTACTTTGTAAGGATGTATGAGAAAGGAGTTAATTCACAGAAACTACTTGGAACACGCAGGTAAACAAATGCTAGCAATTAACCACACCAATCACACCTGCAGTATCCCTAGCTTTAGGTGGTCCCTCAGCGGAGGTAGGTACTGGTACTCCTGGGCACTTGCTGGGTTGATCTCGGCCAGTGTCTGGACACCTTCATCTCTTGCATTAACCAGTCGTAGAAAGAGCTCAACCTCACCTACCTGCAGAGAGTTGAAATGGTACTGCATCTGTACCTGGAGGGGAGGAGATCCAGTCCCTGTCCACACTCACCTGGGGAATCCCATTCAACTGTCCAGGGGTAAGGCTGGGGTCCAGAGGAAGGGCCCGAAGTGGAAGACGCCAACGGCCACTTCGCACCCTTTGATCCCGGTCAAATAGCACCAATGAGGCCCAAGCCTTTGGCTGTGGTTCCCTAGCCCATGCCAGCCCCTGCCAGGCCTGTAGCTCACAGACCAGGGCTGCTGATGGTGAAGGTGGCAGCCTAGAACAACCGAAACTATGTCAGAAGCCAGAACTGTTTTTCCCTGGACAGCTCTGGGAGCCAGTGGCCCTGTATACAGATGGAAAACAGCAGAATGAGGGAAAAGCCTCAATTGTGACAAAAGGCATCCAAGTCAATCTCCACCTACTGACCTGGGTACGGGCTGCCTGCTGGCAAGGATGGCACAGTTGCCCGTGGGCCCAGGAGCTGGAGGTGGGGGCAAGCAAAGGGCTGGGGGCAATGCTGTGGCCCCTCCTGTGTCCTGTCCGTCTCGTGTCAGGCCAGTCGTGAGTTGCACCCAAATCCAAGAAGCCTCAAGGCCCCGAAGGAAGTCATAGAAAATGACCAGCCCTGCCCTGAAGAACACAGGTCTCAGGGGGCACCTATACAACGCCCCCCATCCCTTCCCCTCACCCTGTCAGTTCCCCAATCCTAGCTCTTCCTAGTGGGTCTCTCTCCTTAATCAGAAGGGATGACCAAGTCACAGGGGGAGCAGGCCTCACCCAGGGTCATAGGGTGCAGGGCCCAGAACGTCAGGAGCCGGCAGGAGAAAGTATGGATCCAGGCCAGGGTTCCTGGTCAGGGTGCCAGGAACCTGCAGCTGTGGGTGGGGTAAGAGTGGACTCCTGCGGAGAGCCTCCTCGGCGCCCATGCTTCCCCAGCTACACAAAACAGAGCTGCCCCGGCCCCAACCCCTGGGTCCTCACGGCCTTTTCTGTGCCACTCAACAGGATGCCTGTGGAGTGTGGATGGGGCGGTAGCGGGGGAGCCACCGGCGGCGGGAGGCGCGGGGGATCTTCCCTCCTCCCCAGGCGTCGGGGGGGATTCACCACGGGTCGAGGCTCGCTAGGCCCTGGGAGCAGAGAGTTAAGAGTAGGGCATCTCTGAGCAGGACGCAGCAAGTAACAGGGCCGAGATACCCTTTCCCGGAGAGCCGAACTCACACGCACGGACACCTGGAGATGCGCGAGGGCAGGAACGGGCAGGGCCACAAACACACGCCTCATTCTCCACCCTCCAACCCCTTCCTTGGGCTCAGCCTGCTGGGGAGAGCTAAGTGGTGTGGGACGAGGGTGCTCGCTAACCCCAGGACGCAGGGCCTGCGTCCCTCTGCATCTGCAAGGCCAGGATTTCTGCCTCCAGGCGCCGGTTTTCGGCTTCCACCACTAGAAGCTCCCCCAGTGCGGCACCTGCCCGTCTTCCTGCGATGAGAAAGTCCCACCCGTCACCTCTGGCCTCTGGTAACCAGCTGGTGCAATCCTGAGCAGCTCTCCAGCTTTACGTCTCTCTGGACAAGGCTGAACTTGCCAGGTAACATTCTAGCCATTGCCACAAAGACCACCCAAGTTTTCCACCTTCAGGTGGTCCCCACTGCCAAAGACGCCCCCCTCAACCGCCCTTTTCTCCTCCCAGGATTAAGACCACCGCTTCCGAGGCCGTCCTGTTCACCTCTGCAGGTCCGCAGCCGCCGCAGCTCCAGCGCTGATGCCTCCACCTGCAACTGACATATCTGGCCCAGAAGGCCGGGGTTCCGGCCCCCGCCTCGAACGTAGGCCTCACGCAGGGCCCTAGGGAGGGAACAGGGGACAAGAAGGCAGCGTCTTTCCAGGACTGATTAGCGCTTCGCCCATGCCGCCCCGGGCCCCGGGCCTCACCCGATCTCGGCAGCCAGAGTCCCTGGGTTGGCCTGTAGCACCGGACAACAGAGTTCTGCCTCTCGCAAGGCGTTGAGCCGGGTCCTGGGGCCGGGGGGCCAGCCGCGCGGAGAAGTTGCGGATCCAGAGGCCCGGCCTCCGGAAGCCCCGCCCCTTCCCGACAGAACACGTGCGGCCTTCCAGCTGCGCGGGCGCCTACGCTTCCCGGGCCCCGCCCTCCGGAGGCTCCCGCCGCGGCTCCGCCCCCAGACCGGGACCAGCCCCCAGCCCCGCTCTGCCGCGCTCTGAATACCCCGGGTCTCACCCAGGCTCCGGCTGTAGCTGCTGAACGTGCGCACCTAGCACTTCTAGAGCTCCCCGCGTTCGCCCGGCTTCTGCCCGGAGTTCTCGAAGCTCCCGCTCCAGACCGAAAAGGCGTGATATTCCGCCCCGGGTCTGGGCCAAACCTTGGAGGCGTTGGCTCAATTCTGAGGCGTTAAGGTACCGAGTCGCAAAGAGTCCGACAAACTCAAAGCCAAAGGGAGAGGGGCGGGGAGGGCTCGTAAATCCCCCCCCACGCCCCGGTCCATTTCCCTCACCCTCGCTGCGTCGCTCCAGGGCCCGGCTCTGTGACTCCGTCTCCGCCACCCGCTTTGCGTGAGTCCCCTGCAGCGCCCGAAGCCGCTCGCCAGGGTTTCCAGCAGCTTCGGGGGTGGGGCCCTGAGTCTTCACCTCAGTTTGGCTCCGGGGCCCTTCTAATCCCCTGGAGACCTCTGTTATCCAGGGTCGCATTTCCTGTAGGTACAGCCGCAGTCGCTGCACCTGGAGATAGCGGACTCCGTGACCTCCTTGACCCATGATCTGAGTGACCTGTAGGCCTAGGGAGGTTGCTAAATTTGGAGCGGGTGGGGAAAGCCCGGAGTACCTCTTCTGTTAGCTTCTTAGTAGCCAATTTGCTGGCCTCCTGCTCTGGGAGGCCCTGGTGTTCTTGTGGCACCACCTGGCGACAGGGTGTGGGGATGAAATATCCTGAGGGTCAGAGTTGCTTGAAAACCCACCCATGTGGCCACAGAGGCGGCCCTTTTGAGAAGTGGGCTCCAGGTGTTACCTCTCGGGTCGGACGGCCAATGCAGAAGCGCTGAGTGTGGGTGGCCAACAGCTCCCAGGAGCGGAAAACCATGTCACAGGACCCACAGAACAGGAGCCCTGGCTCCCCAGAGTAGGCCATGGGAGCGGACCCCTTTCCTGACATGCCAGCCAGGACCTGCAAGAGACAGGACAGAGAGCAGGGGAAGGGAAAGGAGGATGAAACAAAGCCAGAGGCAGAGCGGAAAGGCCAGGTTTACTGAGTTTACAAGATTAAGTTTATGTTTGGGGAGGAGACTTAGCTCCCTGGGCAGCAACTACAGGTCTAGGCAGGCCTGGAGCATGGGTGGGGAAAGGCTGGTCACCTCTGGGAGGAGCCCCTGGCTTGAGAAAGTGTCATAATGTCTGCTCCACCTCAATCCATAAGCGTGGGCAAGTCCCTTTTCACACTACATCTTGGTTTCTCTGCCTTACATTATGTAAAGGGGGACAAATGGCTGCCTCCTAGACTAGCTGGGCCCCTGTCGCATAGTCATCACTGGTCATTGAACAGTCTCTGGCAGGGAAGTATCATCTTGTTCATTCTTGTTTTGCCCAAGTTACCCAAGGTAGTGTTTTCCGTTCTAGGGAACACCTGGGAGAGGAAGCAGTCTGCCCTTTTGGGCTTTCTGCCAGGAATCTTCTTTCCCCTAGGCTGAAAAGCTTTCCCTTGCACTCTGCCCCTCGGGAAGCAACCACAGCTTTTGTATTACCAAGTCACACCAAAGCTAGCAGTTTTTCCCTAGTCCCGATTTCCTTGGGCGGGGGGGGGGGGGTTGTTTTGTTTGGCTAGAGAGGGATGATAATTAGCACAGCCCAAGGAATTAAAGTTCTGGGAGAACACAATGAATCTATCAGATGAGGGAATCAAATATAGAAAGGTACCCCTTCATTCAAGTCTGACCAGGAGACTTTTGTGCTGATCAGATCTCTGCCACCTCCCCAAATATACGTATCCATCAGGAGCTCTGAGTTAGCCCCATGTTTCTCAACAAACTCCCTTTTCTAAACAAGACAGGGACTTAACGGTAGCAACCCCCTCACCATGTAAGGCCAAGGTGTGACCAGCAACAGGTTACAAGTGTTTCAAAGCATGTGATCTCAGCCAGCTTAATTCCAAGCAAGAAAAAGGGCACATTTTTAAGAAATTTGTTTTGTGAAAGCTAGTAAGTGGCAAAGCTCAACACCCCACTGGCAGGATATCTCTATCTCAGACAACTTCTCACTTCCAGTTTAATACTTTTGCAACTATATTCATTTTATAGTATTTCACGGATTCTAAGATGTATTCCCCCCTCCCCCATTTTAATACTGAAATCAGGACCAACAATTAATGGAGTATCATACCTGGCAAGTTTTCTTTTAATTTATTTATTAGAGAGAACACAAGCGGGGGTAGGGGCAGAGGGAGAGGGGAGGGAGAGAGAGCAGCAGACTCCTTGCTGAGCAAGGAGCCCGACTGGGGCTCGATCCCACAACCCTGAGATCACGACCTGAGCAGAAATCAAGAGCCAAAAGCTTAATGGACTGAGCCACCCAGGCACCCGGCAAGTTTTCTTATTAGTACATAATATTTTAAAAGATATATTCAAAAATATGATAGTTCTTACTGCTCTACCCCAACCACCATTTCTACATGGACTGCTTATAACACCAGCAGGAGAGACTATGTAATACAGAGTGTGGCACATAGGGTCTCTGCCTTCCTAGCCTTACAGAATCTAGCAAATGTCATGCTCGTCTCTCTGCCTCTAGCCTCTATCCCTTTTGGAGACACTACAAGTTGGTTATCTTTCTAACATGCAATCAGGGCTGTTACCCTGCTGGTTGTCTCCCATTAATGATCCTGGACCTCTATGTCCACCAGGGAGCGTGTACTGTAGGGATGGCCAAAGAGTGTCAGTGTCAGTGTGTGCTTACTTTAACTTCTACTTGTCCATCAGATTTTGGCCCAAAGGCTTCATTTTTGTAATATAATTGTTTATTCTCTTCTCTACTGGGCTGGGCATTCCCTGCACCCCGAGCCTTGCAAAATACCTGGCATACAGGGAGAGCTGGGGAAGTGTATGCTGAATGAAAAACTGCCTCCCCCACTGGTCACTGGTCACCACTGGTCACCCTCCACGGGTCACAGCACTGGCTCAAACCCTTTCCCATGTTCCTCTTTAGCAGGAAAACTGAGGCACAGAACCTTCCTTAAAACATGCACACTGGTAAATACCCAGGCAAGTGAAAATCAGTTTCAGGAAGGAAACTTGGGTTTTTGATTTTATTACTGATAATTTATTGCACAAGTTTTTCTGCATCAAAAAAGTATCTGCTAAAAGGAGAAACAGCTATGTCTAATTCAGATTTCCCTAAGACTTCTAAAAGTATATCCCTCAAAGAATCCACTCATCTAGTTTTAAAGGAAATATACTTCTTACACAAGACGATCGAAACTGATGCAAAATATTTATTCCAAGTTAGTTATTTTATGCAGTAGTTTTCCCCCTCAACAGACTTGTGATAACCACATCTTTTAAATCTGTAAATAATGTTATCAAAATAATCTTAATCTTTGAAATCTCACAAAAATTTATATTTTACAATCCACCCTGAATATCAAGGCTGCAAGAATAACACATTTCCTATATCCAAATATTTTACAGCTGTACCCAAAAAAGGAAAAAAAAAAAAAAAAGAAAAAAGAAAACCATGTATGCTTGGTTATGGGCTAACGTTACCCGAGCAGCCAAAAATAAAATAAAATATCCAGATTATTAGCATTAATTTAATACAATTATAACTTCAATAGTCACTTTGTCATTGACAATGATTGCTTGAGCACGGGGGTGAGCGCCCCAAGGGCTGGGCTGACCAGCCTCCCCTCTCTGCACGGGCAGCTCCCACCCGTGTGTCGCCCCATAGATACTGTGTCTGTGTGTGTGTGTATTTAAAAAATCTTTCCCATCACACAAACTTCTATTAAGCAGATAACAGGGAGGAACAACAACAACAAAAGCTAAACAAACCAATTGCTCTCTCTTTGGGATATGATTATTTTCCCTTGTGCATGAAGGATTCAACAACAGAAGAAAGGAAAAGAACGATTTCTTTTGTAGACTCCCTAAACACACAAGCTGAGTTTACTGGGTCAGATCTGTGAGCATTTATACGCCTACTTCCAGGCATCGTCATCTGATGTTTCACTGCTACTGGTTTCCGTGTCTGAGTCCTCAAACTCCGCTTTACAAGTGCTTCTCCAAGGGGAGAACAGGCTGGAACCGCGGCTCTGCAAAAAGCCATTCTTCCCAAAGCCATTTCTTCTCAGCTATGGTTAGCAGGAAAAGAAAAAAGAAAACCGTCAAAGACTACACCTGGCAGTGGGACCTGGAAAAGGCAGGTATTCAATTCTAGGCAGAATGTAGAGGGGGCCCTTCTAAGAGATCCAAGATTTCTTTTGCTGTGCTTTTCAAACTTTAATGTGCAAATCAATCATCTACGGATCTTTTTTAAAAATGCAGATTCTGATTCAGTAGGCAGGGTTTCAGATTCTTTATTTCTACAAGTTCTCAGGTGATGACAACGATTGAGAGAATAGTTCTGAATAGCAGAGTCTTTATGTCAGCTGTAATTTCTCTTTATAGGACTTAGTTTGTGCTTTAAATATAAATACCATAAATAAAAATAAGTGTTAAGTAAAATATAAATACCACCAGAATATAAGCTCCTATGAAGTTTGTAGACTCCATTTACCTTGTTCATTGCTATAAATCTCAGGATCTGGCAGTGTTTCACTCAGAGGAAGCATCGAACCACTTGTTGGATAAATTCAGAGGTAGTTTCTTGGCTCAGGCCAGAGTATCAGAGGGAAACCACAGGGCTGGAGGCGGTGGGAATAAGCCTGCTTCCCTAGAGGCCCAGGGCTCAGCCCATAACCCTGGAACACAGCCTTGTGGTTCTGATAAGGGGGTAGAGCTGCCAGGATGAAAGAACATACTACTTTCTGGAATCTGCTAACTACTGACCCAGTTTTTGTACCCACTACTGGAGAGCCCTGTTGCCTAGGCACTGATTTGCTCTTCTGTATTTCTACTATGGCAACTTACTTTCTATTTTCTTTTCCAAGGTCCCTTCTCTCACACAAAACAGGCTCTCTAAGGGCAATCACTGCCCTGTTCCTTTCTCTCCTAGTCATTAACAGATCTCCAGGGAAGGTTTATGGCATACCTGCTCCGTCTTCATGTGGAACTCTCTGAGCTCATCCTCTGTGAGGGGGAGGCAATTCTCATCATTTTCAGGATATTCCTGCCATCCCATTGCTTTCAATAACCTGGTAGAGGGAGGTCAGGCAAAGAAAATACGACATCTTTAAGCATAAGTGCGAAGCCCACAACTTTCCAGAGAAAACTTACTTGCCCAGGGGCAACAGTACCCCACTTGGGATTTTTCTTTTCTCCCTAGTGGGATGTTTTTTTTTTAATTAAATTTATTTATTTGAGAGAGAAAGAGAACGCATGCACACATGAGCAGGAGGAGGGGAGGGAGAGAATCAGGCAGACACCCTGCTGAGTATGGAGCCCGACACAAGCCCAATTCCAGGACCCCCAAGTGCCCCTCCCCAGTGGGATAAGCTTTAATTATGGCTACTTAGGTGTCTGAATTAAATGAGGGATCTCCACAGTTGCTCTTTCTAGAGTATAAGAGCTACAGAGAGGAGAGAGAAGCAGAAAATAAGACTGCATAAGAGCCAAAGTGCAAGGGCCCTCTCTGACAAAACAGAAGAAGAAATCTCTTAGAAAAAAGATTTTATTTATTCATTTGACAGAGAGAAAGCACAAGCAAGGGGAGCTGCAGGCTTCCCACGGAGCAGGGAGCCCGATGCGGGGCTCAATCCCAGGACCCTGAGATCATAACCTAAGCTGAAGGCAGACGCTCAACTGAGCTACCCAGGCGCCCTGAAATCTCACTTTTGGGGTGCCTGGGTGGCTTAGATGGTTGGGCGGCCGACTCTTGATTTTGGCTCAGGTCATGATCTCAGGGTTGTGCAAATGACGGGGCTCCACGCTCAGTGGGGAGTCTGCTTGAGATTCTCTCCCTCTCCCTCTGCTCCTCCCCCCACTCTCTTTCTCTCTCAAAGAAATAAATCTTTAAAAAAAAAAAATCTCACTTTTGTCTCTAGTAAGCAGATCAGCACATCTCCACATGTACCTAAGTTCTCCTTCAATTTCATGGCACCATGGTCTCCTTCATACTCTTGTGATCTTTTGCTGACTTCTAAAGTTCTTCAGGACAGGAACTTCATTTTAGGAAGGTACTGCCACACATGGCAGGCCCCATCTGCCATCCAGGTGCCCCAAACAGCTGGCTGCTCTATGTTCAAGGCCCTCATTTAAAGAACAAGCTCCACCTGTGGGGAGGCATGGCCTCCCAAGGCCTTTTAAAGGGGTCTTATAAAGGCTCACTTGGGCTAGGAGGGTCCAAGAAACGGTCCTAGAAAATAGGTTCCCCTCTGCAAATGGAGATATAAACCTAGTCTGAAACTAAACTAAATGAAAGCCTTGCAGAGGAAAGTTGTGAAAAAGTTGGCAAATCTGTAAAGGAATGTCCAGTGGGCAAGAGGCCAAGCTGGGGCATAAAGAGAGAACAAATTATGGCCCATGAACACTTCTCTCTGTAGGCCAGACTCCATCTGGGATGTCTTAAGGATGTTCAAGCTCCTTATAGGCCATACACAGCATGCCCTGTGATCTGATCTGCACTCACCTGTG